AAGCATTGTGGATGCTCTAAGGAGATTGTATATATTCCCTATTTGAAGATCGATTTGCAGCTGCTGATATCATTATTCACGAGAGCAATATTCGAGCTTCAAGTATTTTGTTCTTTTGTTTTAGTATACAGTTCAGTTCGAAGATTCTTACGTACCTAAGAACTGTAGCCGTTCTTTGTTCTTTTGTTTTTCTTGTTTATTCAAAAACATTCGTGTGTTACACTTAGGGATTAAGTGTTAGGTAAAAAGTCCACGGGACGTTGCCGGAGAAATAGTTGATAGGATTGTGTATAGTTGTGGCTAGACTAGAAAAGAGTTCGAGTCTTGTAAGTCCAAACTATGTCGCATAACGGTTTATCAATGAAAGAGCTCTGAGGGGAAGTGGGACGCTTCTCTGAAGAGTTTTTAATTCTTCGGTTATTGCTTCCGCATTTTACAATTTCTAATCAAATTCGTACTAAATTTTGCGCACTCGCAATTAAATATACGTTTCAAAATGAAAGCACGAAAACAAAGAGTTTCGAAAGGAGACGAAACACACAACAAACCGATAATAACTTTAAACTAAAGATACAAATGAAGATTCATCAAACCCTAATGGTGGGTCGACCGCATGCTAGTTCCTCACTTATCCGCGATTTCATGCTTTATATGGTGCAGAATGATCGGAATCGTTACCTCCGGGGCACTTAAGTGCGGGATGTGTCCTTCGGTCGGTATCAATTCGAACACTGACTTCCCGCCAAGGTTGTGGTGGAGGTACTCGGCCACCGAGGGGGGAACCAACATGTCCTTGGAGCTCTGGATGATGTGGCATGGGATGGTGACGTGGCCGAGGTAGGGCCTTAGATCAAAGGAGTGAACCAAGCGGACCACGCTAAGGGCAATGTCGGGACGGATGCTGAAGAGGGTCCGACTGAACTCCTGCATGATGGGCGAGTCCAAGTCGCAACCCAACATTAGCGGGGCACAGCCGCTATTCAATGACCTCCAATTGGTCTCCATGGCTGCAGCTAGGTTGTCGAGGTCTTTCTGCTCGAACCCTCCGTAGTAGTCGTCCGTGTTCGACATCCTAATGAAAAACAATGCCATTTTAGCTAAATCTTGATGTATATTTATCATTGTATCTAACATAATTAGTAATACTAACTTAAAGAAATTTTATGGAATCATCCATAAATTAATGTTTGGACGCATGTCTTAAGTATATTTTATCTCAGAACAGATGAATTTCTGAATCGCTGCATAACTCGTGTCATCCGATGACTACAGAAAAAACTTCATTTAATTAGTTTATGTGCATATGTATTGAATGTAATGCATGTACGTTCAATAATGAATATATGTTAATGTCATAGTTATACACAAGCAATTTATTTTACAATTATTATGACGCAAACAGTTGGCTATTTCCCTTTTTTCATGTCACATATATAACAATATCAAAAATTATGTTTTAAGAGATTTTGTAATGTTTCGATAACTCATAACTCAAAACACAAACACACGCGTAAACACACCTTGGGCTAGCCGCGATCATGATAAGTTTATGAAACAAATCTGGCCTGAAAATCGACGCTATAGCTGCAGCCATGGACGAGAGCGAATGGCCGACATGTATGCACTTGTCGACCCCGAATTCCTCTAAAATTGCGATCAAGTCGTACGCATAGCCTTCCAAAGTCGAATAGCGTTCGAAATCAAAATAGTCCGGGTTTGTTGTGCCGGCGCCCATATTATCATACAACAAAACCCTGTACTCGTCCACCAAGTACGGGACCAAGTGCCTCCACACCGATTGGTCGGTCCCGTACCCGTGGCTAAGGACAACGGTGGTCCTACCCGACCCTAAAATGTTCACGTTGTGGGCGGCTCCAACTGTGCTCATTGTTACTCGTGTTACTTTCTTTCTTTCTTTTTTTTTTTTTTTCGGATTT